AACAAAAATAACGAAACACAATTGAATAAAACAGAAGAATTTAATTCAAAGTTTTAAATACCAATTCTCCTTATATACTTGTGCATTTGCAATAACCAATCAGATTGCGCGAAAGAAGACGCTTAACCAATCAAATTGCGAGTTTCATACATGCCTTCAAACACGAAATTCAATTTGAAAATTTTTTATTTCAAAGCGAGAAGAAGCCAAGCTTTAGCGACTTTCTCCCTTGAGAAAGAGCCTTTTACAAGCAAATCTAGATAAAATAATAATTCCAAAKCTTAACCAATGGCTTTAGTCATTTTAGAYCGAAAAGAAAACACTATTTTAAGAGCCAGAACTCGAGCTTGATTTCCATCGGTGTTGATGAAAGAAATGCGGACCAACTTGATGGAACATCCACTGAATAGGGCTCCAAAATTGAATTTCTCCTGTTGTGTGAGTACATTCTGTGAAACAGAATGGCTTTTCAGGAACAACTTGAATCTGGCGGCTTGGAACTGGATTGATGGCCAGAGAGAGGATGTTGCTACACTGCTGAAGTTGGTTTGACGAAGGCCGCGAGTTGTTGCTCTGTAGAGACTGCTCATTGCGGTGGCCAGAAATAGCCATTATATGCCTGTTTGATAGCCCAGCATTTGGCCAGAGGGTGATCATAGTTGCCCTTACACAATGATTGGTGTAGACTTTGGAAAGTTTGGCTGCCAAACTCAGTTCCTTCATCATGTTTCCGAGTTTGTTTACACCAAGCACTTGATTCTTGCACCACACCGCTTCGGAAGAACGTGCTAAGTTTCTCTTGGGAACCTGAAATAATGCGTCACAGTTAAGGTAAAGTTGAAGAGATGAGAAGCCATCATGTGGAGTGTCAGTTTTGTAAATCAAAGCAAGCTTTTCATAGCTTTCTTGGTCGCCAAAACCACCTGGGTGATTCTTGCTGGCCTYGTCATGAGTCATAGTGGCATATGGCCTGTTTTCGTCATTGAGGAACTTGAAGCTGCTTTTAGACAGGTTTCGTTGACCTTCACGCCCTCTCCTACACCAGTATAAAGTACAATGAAACCATACATTCATTAGTAAACTGTTGGGAGTACTTGGACTCATGATAGCACTTGTTTTGAGCTTCCGGAGATCTTCCATCTCAATGGTAGGTTTGTGTTGTACATTGTGCTTTCCTTCTTGCTTCAGGCTTTTCAGTTTTGCGTTAAGCATCATGTTGGAATCCTTGAAGGCTGCATTCTGGKAGATAAGGATCCCCTTGTTGTGTGGAGGGCCATTAACCCTCTCAGTCCCAAGGGGTCCAGGTTGTAACTGCTCTAATTGCCCAAGGGGTGCCAGACAAATATGAGGTGTTTTTGGATACCCTTACTAAATCATTCATATCAAGAAAACCAGAGGATTTTAAGAAATACAATAGTAAAAAAGTTT